CAGTTTGGTATAGGGGATATGGAAGAATAATGCTGGTCTTTGTGTGCCAGTCTGAGCAAGCCCATGGGAATAGGCACGTGTGTGTATGTGTGTGTGTGCGGGTGTCTATGTGGCACTGGGGTGTGGAAGGTTAAGGTCACTTGGTCAGTCCCTGAGACCGTCCAGTGAGAGAATCACTCCACACCTGTAAATGAAGTCGGGCAGGTGCACAACCCCTCTCGACCAGCGATGGATGTACGCGACAAGATTTTTTTTCTTTTTAATACCACATCCAGTCCTTTTTTAGCCTTAATCCGTTTTAGGCATTGCACGAGACTTTGTACCATTATACATGATGACACAAAGTCTGGCACAAATTAATGTTAACATAAAGAACTTTTAAATTCCCAGCTGTTGCTTCTGGTGTTTTGTTTAATAATATGGGCCTAATCCTGACTAGAATATATTGAGACTGGGTTGATCTGTGGAGCATTCAATTCTGATCTTATAGTCTCTTAAAATATTTGCTTCCAATATATGTTAGCTGCAAAAAAATACATTTGCTACATAATGGATGGGATCAGTTGTTGAACCTGCTGCCTGTCATCCAGCCTTCCCAAAACAGTTAAGCCACAGCCACCAAACGTTCTTTTTGTTGATCTTATTTCTTTCAAAATGAAAAGACATTTTAAAAAACACACACAGACACTTATAAACTTAAAATTAGCATCAATTTGGATTTATGTAACCACCAAAAATGAAACAATAAAACTTGCTCTCCTTTTAGCTCTGTTTTGGTTTCTATTACCACCTGAGTTAGATATCTGGTTCTTCTCTGCATTCACCGGCTAGTTGTTAACTTTATCTGTTTTCCTGTTGGGCAACCCACAAGTTTTGAATATAATCTGCCTGTTATCGGCCATGCACGGCCTACCAGTAATCTGTATCACATCATTCAATGCTGGAAAAGTGTAAAAGTCTTCAAACAGTCTTGGCGACTAGGATAGTGGTGTAGTGATTAGCTCTGTCGTCTTACAGCAAGAAGGTGCAGGATTTGTATCCGCTTGCCAAGATTGCCTGTCTCTTTCTAATAACACATAATGCATGTTGCTCTCTATTTGTTACGTATTACAACAGATGATAACCCAAGCAAGATTGGGATACCTACTGGTAATGTGTGTGGGGCTATAACAAATAATCATTGCAATTTGATGGGCTTATAACACATCAATCAGCTGAGGTGATGTGTGCCATATATAGCTGATTTATCATTTTTTAAGCACTCTTCTGTTGTTCAGTTGTTCCTAACAATGTTCACATCAATATTCAGGTGATTTTCAGAACATGAGAGACTGAACTTTAATGCATGTGTGGGAATGTCAAGAGCTAATTACTTTTGCCATTTTCGAGTTTAGGCTATAAATAAGCCAATCTTTAATATAAACAGATATGTGCTTTGTTGTAACCAATGACATTGCACAGCCCTCATTAAGAAGCCATACTCCTAATCTTTAACTGCATCAAAGGATTGAACATACCACAACATCACAAAGCCATTACCTATGATCTCCAAAATGTTCATTCCCAGGCCTATGACTCATAAAATTCCCATTTGACAGTGACAATGCTGATCAAGTGTCCTGTCATCAGCTTAGGAATTAGGCCAGTGTGGACTTTTCTGACATTGCATCTAATAAAGCTGCAGATATCCCAGCAGCTATCCCGCACATTCTCCCTGCATGAGGCAAGCAGAGAGGGAGACAGTGACATGGGGCAGCAGAGGGTGTACAATGTTATGAAAATAGACATGCAGGAGCACACACACACACACACACACACACACACACACACACACACACACACACACGTGTACACATACACATAAATAAAGGCTCTAGAAGTTCCAATAAATACATAGTGATTCTTGAAATTCTGTTAGACACAAAGACAAAGAGGATTAGATTCGTATAAACAAGGTTAAGACAGGTGTATGTGTGACTGTGTGCGTGTGTCTGTGTGTGTGTGCTGGGGTGATTGAGGGGATCATTTCATACTAAGAGGGATTGAGAAGGTAGTCAAGGACAGATAATCACTGCAAGCAAGAGCTGTCAGCTGTACACACAGAGGGAAAGCAAGTTAGAGTTTTGCATAGAGAAGGTCAAAAGAGAAGGGCACCATAGCTGTGTGTGTGGGTGTTCATGTGGGTATGTTTGTGTTTGTGAAAACTAGACAAATTACCACTGATTCTCAATATTTAAGCGTGTTTCCCTCAGATAAGCGAAAAATGCAAAAAATACACACAGATCCGTGTTGAGGATTGTGACTTTTTGATAAATGTGCTTTGTTTTCGTGCCAAGAGTTTGATGAGAAGTGTGATACCATTTGCATATCTGCCAGGAGATGATTAGCTTAACTTAGCATAATGAATGGAAACTGGAAGAAACGGCTATCCTGCATCTGTCAAAGCAGCAAAGCCTACCTACCACGTTGCAAACGATGTACTATACAATATCCGAAGTGCGGAAACAATCTAGGACTTAAAAACTGGAGTTAAAGGGGATAA